AGGGTCAGGATCAGCAGTGGGCACAGATGGGAGCATAGTGTGGGCTGCACTGGGTGGGAGCAGGCAGTGCTCAGCCCCATGTGCAGCACCACAGAAGCAGCCACAGGCCAGATGCATCCATTGATAGATGCCTGCCCATGGGCTGGATCTAATCATTTGATGGGCTAGATCTGGCCCAGGGGTAATATTTTGCCTATCCCTGCTCTAATATGCATAGTAGTTTGGGGGCTTTTTTGTGTAAATTGGTATTTCTCCAACTAAACTGAGACAAACTAAAATTACCATTTGTTTGTTGTCAAAGTGTTTAAACAGCTCACGTATTCCATAGCTAATCACACGTGCAATTTCAGTTTTTCCTACTTGGCTCAGTACAATCTTCCATTTTTCCACTCACTTGCAGTGACTTCAAAGTATCCAAGCAACTTCTTTTAAAATGATTCATATGCTGGCTGGGTCATTTATCTGCTATACCTCCCAGGTTATTTTTTTAAATGGTAGCTACTGAAAAAAAATATGTTCAAGGAAATAAGGCTTGTTTGACTAGTAAAGATTTTAATCAATTTTATTTCCCCTAGGAGAAATAGACCTCGCTCATGTGAACTTTCCACATAGACATCCCTTAACAGAAACAATCACTTTTAAAACAAATTTGTTAACTTTTTCTTAGTTAAAAAGGACCTTACTAAAATACGTTGAAAATCCCTTTTACTATCCTGACTCATTATTTAAGAATATTTCAAATCTATATTTTTTGACAGGTTTGTTAATACAGATGTTTGTTTATTATTGTATGGATAGCACTTTCCTTTTAAAAATTATGTAAGTTGTATTTATTATATGCAATGAATATAGCAGGGGAAGTTTGGACTAAGAAAGCGTTGGGTTGATTGTGACTAAATGACTAGCAATGATATGCTTAGGTCTCAAAGGAGAGTGAAGGCTGTTTACCAGAGAGGTAATTCTTTTTTTTAAATCTGATATGTGGATTTTCTTTGCCTTCAAGACTAAGAGAACTGCAGTTAGAACTTTAAAATGGTGATAGGAAGGATGCTTACATAACTAACCATGCTGAGGAGATACTGATTTTCAAGATCACTTTTGAACTGAATTTGTGTATCATTTCTACTTGGTGGATAGAGCCATATTCAAATACCTGATGAGAGAAGAACATATTATTAAAGCTTGCATAACAAAAGACATGTCAAATTGCAGGAGAAATTAAGCCCTGTGCTCATGCTCCAGGTATAAGGGAACAAATTCTGAATCTTTACAGGAGGGAAACTAAGTCTAAAAGAACAGCTCAATATGACAACAGGCTGTCTTTCCAGTTCCTGTCTTTCCAGTACATGTATGCAATAAATCACATGGAGTTTAATCTCATACTTTTCAGAACAATTCTGAAATACGAGTGTTAAAAATCATGTAATCAAAAATTGTCAATTAAGTGAGTTGGCATAATGTGATTAGACAGAGTTTGAATTACACTTTGACTTCAGGAGGGGAGAGCAGGGGGGGTCTCCAAAAAAAATTAAACCGGTTCATTGATTAACAAGTTCACCTAAGTAAAGGAGCAATCCAATTGGAGATCCCCCCTGGTTATGATTTGCATATCTTACAGGTAGGCTCTCATCTCTTGGGTGGTGGGGGGAGCTCAGCCTTCCTCCCTCCCTCCAGCTGTCCCTTAATTTGTACCCTGTGTTTAGAAAAAAAATATTTTTCTTTTTTCCTCACTAATGGCACTAGATCTTAATGGTATGACATGAAATGTCAGGGGATAACTCTGTAGCTGTGGGTGTACTAAAGCTGTTTTTTTTCACCGTGGTTTTGTATTCCTTAAGAAATCTTGCAGTATGTGCTGAGATATCATAATGCATGTGTCCATTCTGTGTATGACTTGACAATGTGACTGGTTATGTCATTAAACAACTTTGGGAGCAGCCTATCTGACATATATGTAGAAACCACTGTTTTCTGCTCTTTTTCTCCTTATATATTTACATATTTCGTAAATGTTGTGTTTAATTAGCTGATTTGATTTTAATGAGGAAATGGGGTTGTAATTCTGGAGTGGATTTATATACTGATAATGTATAATGTTATTGTGCACACAAACATGCACATGAATTACTTTTCCGATGTGGGAAATATAATGGTTTACAGACCACCAGAGAGATCAGCTACCTTTACATGAGAACTAATGGAGATGCTATCAAGCCATAAGACTTCATGATCTGTGTAGAATATACTTCTAATGCTCTGCCTCACATCTCATGCCTACCATGACAGGTCTAAAATTCAGCTAGGTATCTGAGCCTTTACACAGCCATTTGGGAAACATTTTTGTCAAAGTTTAGATATTGTACACCTGATAATTGTACATATATCCTGATTCCAGAAAGATAGGTAGATCCCAAAAGTTGAATTGGAGAGCTTCTCCTCTCCTCCTTCACGCACAGAATTTTTGTATTCTATTTTAGTTTTTTAATAGGAGCATCCCCACAACATTCTTATATCAAGCAAAATTTTAATATAAATGATTAGGATAGTCATCAGTGATTGCTAGAACAAGCTGAATTTTTCTGTCAATGTCACTTGATGGAAAAATGGAACTGGAATTTTTGCAGAAAATATTTTTTTATTCAAAAAAGAACAAAATAATCTTCGTTTATGTGTTTTGTGGGGAAATATATATCCTGACCACCTCTAGGTAATGTCTTAACTTGTCATATAATGTTACTTTTTAAAGGCTACAACTTGCATCTCAATGACAGATAAAATTAATCTTTTTATGTAAAATAGTTTGTAATATTTGACAGGTGTTTTGAAAGCTTTGGATGCAAGTCTATATAAATAGCAATTGGTAGTAAAGGTTTTTTCTTTCTGCATATATGAAGTACAGTATATAAGTTGGTTTATAGTGTTCTTTTAAAGGTGCAATTTTTTAATTGTTTGGTGCCACAAAGTGGTGAAACTCTGTACTGCTATAAGAAAGCAGTTTTTATAAGATTTTTGGCACTTAGCTGTGAATTTACCCCATTTCTCCTATATCAGCAATATAGAAAACACTCTTCATCCTCAGAGTGACTCCTTTATGTTAATGGAATAAGAATTTCTGGTTTAAGATGCTTTTCTACTAATTTCAAATTCTGTCTCCAATACAAGTACAGCTGGCCAGACATTTTTGACAAAACAGATCATCATCAATAAATGCCACTTTATCAAAATCAAAATGGCTTAGAAGAACTTTTGATTAGTAGAAACCTGCTTGGTAGACTACTTGGGAACCTGAACTTCTAGTGTCTGCAGTCTGCCCAGGGTTGGAGAGTCTAGGACTTCCAGACTGTCCTACAGAACCAATAGCTTACATGAAGACTGAGGTTGAGCTACGAGTCTTGTAGATTGGACAGAGTACATTTTATTTTGGATATGTTGTATCAAAACATTCAAATATATTTCAGTATTCCTGCCCAGAGCAGGGGGGGTGGACTCAATCTTTCGAGGTCCCTTCCAGCCTTTAATTTCTATGATTCTATGAAAGGTGGCTTCTGCTTGCCTTTGCTGTTGCTGCATCTGCACAACATAACGCCTCCTGATAGCATAGGCACACACATAGAAAATAAAGGTTGGGCGGGACCTCCCAAAATCATCTAGTTCAACCTCCTTCCCAAAGCAGGAGCATCCTTAACTAGATCATCCCGGACAAGGCTTTGTCTGCCCCAGTCTTAAAAACCTCTACAGATGGAAATACTGTACTTCTGGTTGGCAGGTAGCTGTGGGCAATCTTCGGCACCAACAACATTTATAGCTGTACTTGCACTGTTCAGTGACAGGGCGAGGCAATGGGGTCCATCCCTTGGAGCCACGTGAACATGGCTTCATTAATTAGTTCTGCTGGAAGTCAGAGCCAGTTAGCCACGGTCCAGTGCTGCCTGGCTGTGGCCTTGCCAGTTTCAATTTGGGAAATGCCGTGACCTGCCTTTGGGCTGGAAGCACTGGAATTACACTGGCCTGGCCCCATGCCAGCGGTTCGTAATCTTTGGAGGCTCAGGGCAGCCCTCAAAAAAGGCCAGCTCATAGTTTTCACTCATTTTGACTAAGGAAAAATACTAGAGCTATTCTTCTGTTGCAAAATGACTCCGAAAGCCCAGAGCAGGGCAGGACACTTTTAACCCTGTGGATTCCTATTTGAAATCTCCAGGTTGACCTTGTGAACCGTGTCTGCACACCAAGCAGGGCTAACAGTGCGGGGCACTCTTGAAAGGCTGGCATGGCCCCCAGCACCCTGCTTGACACTCAGTGCTAGGGTGGCCATCATAGAGGACATGCCCACGGGGTTCTACTACTCTGGCCTCTATTGATACAGAACCCCACTCCTTTATGTCCTCTAGTTTTCCCTGCAAGAGAAGACAACAAAGGCATCCAGTTTTGTATCAGGAGAGGACAACCAGACTGTCCTCTATGATCGTCCTCTACTCAGCGCCCTTAGCTACACATAGCTCTGTCTCTGGCAGTGGTGTAACAGGACTGGGGTTCAGACCCTGGGCCCAGCTTTTGCAACCTCTTCATTAATATTTCCTTTTTTTTTAACCACTATCCTTCTCCAGCGCTTCCCGAGCGCTTTTCACTTAGTCTAAGCATACCCATGCTGGCAAACAAGCTGCCCCTTCCTCTAAGCCGGGGCTACCTGAACAGTGCCAGTCTCTTGTCATTGCTGGGGGAGGACACGGCCAGAGGGCGGCTACCCTTGCGCACGTCCCCCATCCGCAGCGCGCACGCACGCCACGCCGCCTAGCTTTCAGCCCGGCCTCCCCTGCGTCTCCGCTCTAAGACCCGCCTCTCGTGGCAAAGAGCACCAGCTGTCTCCTGATTGGCGGAGGCGGCTGTCGGTCACTGCCGAGAAACACCTCCTAAGTCCTGCAAGGTTAGGGACGGCCGCAGCACAGGTCGAGTTCGATCCCCTCCCCTCTTCGAACGCCGCGGGGCGACCCGCCCCCTCCCCCTGCACGTGGGTGCCGCGAAGACACGTGGCCACGGCGGGAGGCGGCCGGACCGTGGTGGGTAAGGGCTGTAGAGGGGGGCCCTGGCGGACTGCATACGGTGCTGCCGGCTGCAGGGCACAATGCGGCCCCCCCCCCCCATAAGGGAATGTGTGTGCTTCCCCTCGCATCTATTGCACAGCTCCAACCTGATGCTCTGGGCAGCTCGTACCACTTCTTCCTGGTATCAGCCTTGGGGCTGAGGGCATCCCCGTCTTCCCTCCCATCTTCTCCTTTCCCATTTTTCCCACTTCCCTTCCTGGGAGATGGGACCTGTTAAGTGCCAGTGCTTCCTATGCCAGTCTCTCTTGATTAGGGCTGCTAGCCCCCAGGATTGCCCTGGAGTCTCCAGGAATGAGATATAAATCTCCAAGAGACTGCTGAGAGTAACCGGGGAGATAAATGATAGGTGGCATTCATTACAAATAAATATTAAATGTTGAATCTGACTTATACAGTAGGCCACTAGGCTTTTAAAATGTAATACTGATGTGCATTTGCCATCCTCATGTAAAGTCTACACACCATCATCCGGAACTGATGTACGCTAGCACATGGGCATGTTTGTGTTGTGTGTCACGGGCGTGCTGGTGTTCCAGAAATCTGGGATAGATTCAAACAGAGTTGGCAGCCCTACTCATGATGGAAACATGGATTGAGGATTATTTTCCAAAAAATCAATTTTGTATTTACAAACAACAAAAGACAAAAAAACAAAATTAATTTTTGCGTGTGTAATTCCTGGGAGAACATGTTTCCTAACCATCTCTAGGTATTGTCCTAACTTGATGTGAACCCAGTGATTACATAAGGTCCTTTTCAGCCCAAAACTTCTGTGAATGTTGCTTTTTTAAAGGCTACAGCCTGCATCTCAGTGCCATGTGACCAGTTTTCCAAGAAAGAGACTGTTCTTCGGGCAGGTGTCTGAAGTTTAGCTCTACTAAGCCAAGAGTAGGAGGGGTGCCACCCACTCTCGCATTTCCTCCTTCTGATCCCAGTGAGTAGGGTTCATCCTACCTGGTGCCTGGGGACCTTTGCCTGAAATGCTGTCATTGATCGGGGTAGTGCCCGGAGTTATTTGCCATCTTGGTACCCACATGAAAAGGATTTTTAAAAAAGCTGCTGCAGGATGCTGGGTGGCACCTTCACTTGAGGAAGTGGAATTGTAAGTGGTGATTGGTTGTAAATGGGATATCAGATCTTTTGCAGGTCACAAGTTGGAGAGCTTGCCTGACGTTGAAGGGAGGGCCTTCACTCAGCAGCAGAGAACTCGATCAAGAAAAGTCTGTGGTGAGTGGAAGCCTTGTGTAAGTTCTTAAGATCTCCCGGCACAAAGGGTGGGAGTCTGCAGAGAAAAAAAAAGAAGTTACATTTCTGTTCTTTTTCCCTTAATGACTAAGCCAGCCTTTTTTTAAAGGACTTTCACAAATTAAGACCCATGTCCTCTGATTGCCATTCTGATTCCTTTCCCTGTTTGAGCTGCTGCTCTGCTTTTTACCCTGTGCTCTACTTTCTATCTGTTTACTTTTTATCTGCTGCTCTGCTTTGGGCTTCCTGCCCTGTCTGCCCCGTGCTGCCTGCCTCCTCCCTCATCTGCTGCATGCTATATACAGAGGCTGCCCAGGCTGGTTGTGGCATGCGTGCCACAGGTTGTCCATCCCAACCTAAAATGTTGCATAACTCTGTTAGAATATAAATGATTCTGTATTCTTTTTAATCTGTGTCACTGGAAAAGTGATTAGAATCTACCCAGGGGAACACTGCCAATCAGTTGTTATGGAAAGGTGTTCACAGGGATCAGTTGATAATCCAAGTCTCCAAAGTCCAGTTTGTAGACACAGAACAGGTGTGGCAGAAATGGTGGCAATATATTCTCCATGCTGCCTTGGTGAATAAGCCTGAATTCTGCCTACTCTTTCACCTGTCGAGTTAGTTTACTTGGTAACTTGTAGCTTAACAGCCTGCTAGACTTCATGAAGTGAGCGGCTGTTCACTGGGAGCCAAGACCACCATAGATTGTTTGACATAAACTGATACTAATGTTGGCTGAGCTCTCAATTGCTGACATGTGAAAGGTCATAAAATCATAGAAAATTAGGGTTGGAAGGGACCTCAGGAAGTCATCTAGTCCAACCCTCTGCTCAAGGCAGGACCAGCCACAACTAGATCATCCCAGCCAAGGTTCTGTCTAGCTGGGTCTTAAAAACCTCAAAGGATGGGGTGCCCACCACTTCTCTGGGTAACCACTTCCAGTGTTTCACTACCCTCCTAATGAGAAAATTCTTCCTAATATCTAACTTAACCTTCCCTTGCTGCAACTTGAGACCATTGCTCCTTGTTCTGTCATCTGGCACCACTGAGAACAGTTTAGCTCTATCCTGTTTTGAACCTCCCTTCAGGTAGTTGAAGGCTGCTATTAAATCCCCTCTCAGTCTTCTCTTCTGCAGACTAAATAAGCACAGTTCCCTCAGCCTGTCCTGAAGTCATGTCCCCCACCCCCTCACCATTTTTGTTGCCATCCCCTGGACTTGCTCCAATTTATCCGCATCCTTTTTGTATTGAGGTGCCCAAAACTAGACACAGTACTCCAGATGTGGCTTTGCCAATGCTGAATAAAGAGGAAAAATCACTTCCCTTGAACAGCTGGCAACACGTCTATCAATGTAGCCCTGTATGCCGTTAGCCTTCTTGGCAACAATGGCACACTGCTGGCTCATATTTAGCTTATTGTCCACTGTAACCCCCAGCTCCTTTTCTGCAGAGCTGCTGCCCAGCCAGTCAGCCCCAGCCTGTATTGGTGCATGGGATTGTTCCATCCTAAGTGCAGAACTTTGCACGTATCTTTGTTGAACCTTATGAGATTCCTTTGTCCCATTCCTTCAATTTGTCTAAGTTGCTCTGAATCCTAGCCCTACCCTCCAGCATATTTAAAATCAGCTTTTTAAAAATCATACTAGTACTGGAAAAAAAATACTAAGATATTAACTTAGTGCTTTTATTGTAAACCCATATGTCTTGATATTGGTAGGTTTTGAGACCTTGTCCAGTAGGTTTTGTTTCCCATTTATGTGGGTCAGCCTGGTCTGAAACATTAGTTCAGATAAGATTATGGCCAATTAAAATGTAGCACTTAATTCCTGCTGTCCTAGCAGTTTTTATCAGACTGTCATCCAAGGGCAAAGAGTACTCAGGTGTCATGGTGCCACATGCCATATAAACTGTCAGGTAGACAGGTTTTATGTTTTGTCTGTCTTGTACCCTGTCTTTAATTTGCAGCTATGCTGTATCTTGTCATTTCCATTTTGTGTTAAAAAGTCCTACTGAATTTTGTATGGAAAGCCTGGAATTCATGAGAGTGATGAAACGAAACAGAAGTAAACTTAACATTTCATGTGTCTTGTAAAAATGATTGTGCAGATTAAAATGAGGAGAAACAGACAGCATTAGGAGATTATAAAAAGCAACGCTAGTATCTCAAATAGGATGGTCTGTGGTTTAGTTATGCTTCTAAGCAGCACTATTTGAAGGCTTTAAAGTTGTAATACTTTTTTTTAAAGCAGATAATTCACCAAAATGGTTTTAAAGAAGAAAAAAGAAATCCAGGTGGATGCACTTGTTCTTGATCACAAGGAAGTTGAAAGACTTCAGTGTAAGTCTTGTTGTTCTTCTCCACATTTAACTTACATAGTTTTTCTTTTTGTCAAATTATTTGAATGGCTATTGAAATTGAGTTTTAATGCTTTCTCTCTGAGAATATTAAGTTCAAAATTCACTACAAAAAGTTATTAGTCTTCAAACGACTCCTATTTCATTCTTAGTCTAGAGCAGTGATTCTCAACCTTTGGTACCTTACGTACCCCCTGCCGATTGACAAGGTAGAAGTGAAACTGGAAGTCCCACCATGGCTCTTCTGGTTTCACTGCTGCAAGCTGAGTCTCACTTTTTCCACTGTGGCCCAGGGCAAAACAGCGTGTGTGGGGCTTCTCTCCCTATCCCCCAGCACACTGATGCTGGGGAGTGAAAGCCCCAGCACACCAGACACGGCTAGAGGAGCAGTGTCGGAACTTCCAGCCCGAGCTGGCAAAGACCAAAACGCAGCACCCACGTACCTTTTGCCTGTGTCTTGCGTACATGTGCCACAGGTTGAGAAACATGGGTCTAGAGCCTTGTGGCTGTTGGTCAGTAGTGTGATTGATGGTCCTAATTACAAATGGATCTTTCAGGAATGTGGTACAGATGCAGAGAGTTCCCAAGGAGAGAAACATTACTGAAAACTGACTTTTTAGCACCACAGTTAAAAACATGGAGATTACTGACCTGGGTCAGATCCAAGGTCCATCTCATCAAATATCACCATCTTTGAAGGGTTGCAGAACCAGATGCTTTCAAGTTGTGTAGAACTTCTTCTGTGAACAGATGCAGAATAATCTGCCCTCAACGTTGGGTTTTATTTTGATCTCAGATTAGCTTGAGCTCTGAGACCATGAGGTTTCATATCCCTTTCAATTTTTTAAAGTTCATTAGATAATTGGACATTGTTTTTACCTATGTAAGTGTCCAATCCTCCTTCAAAAGGCCTGGTTAAGTTTTTTGTTGTAGTGAGAAGTTTGGTTTTTGGAAGAATTTAAAATGGAGAATAAAAGCTCAAAGCTTTGCCTTTTTCTATTGCTATTCTTTGACTTTTGGAAAGGAAACAATTTGATATTAACATACCTTTTAGTTAAAAGCATAAGAATATGTCTTCTTTTCTCCGAAGCCCCTAGGTATAACTTGATGCAATACAAGTTGGAAATAAGGAAGTTGGTAAAGTGTGTTCTTCTATATTTAACACTATGTCTTTGATCCAACAAAGAGGAGCATCCAGATGCATCAGTCTAAATGTAGTTTTCTTAGCAGTACCGAGGTACATATGACCTGGGGCAGTGATTCTCAACCAGAGAGATACGAGATCTTTTTAAGGGTGCTGTGGGATACCTCTTAGGCCCCTGCCATACATTATATATATTACGCAATATACTGGTTAATTGCTCAATAAATTTAGAGTGGCCACACATGCAAAGTAAATATCACACTATAAAAATGTACATCCAGCTATAAAAGGAGCCAATGAACGACAAATTTAGTGCTTGAATGTGTTTAATAAGTTTATCACTTGTTTGTATTCAGCTTTAATTTGAACATGTGACAGGGCCCTCGTTATTAGCATTGTTAGGTATGCAAACACCTATATGTGATTCACAAGAGAAACCCAAAGATTTAAAATAGTGTTGAATCCCTAGGATGTAAAACGTTCAGGAACCTGTTGTGGTCTTTCTGAGTTTGTTGTAAAAGAATTGCTCTACCATTTTCCTATAGTCAAAAAATGAGTAAAAGCTGGAATTTTTTGAAGGGTGCCTTGAGTTTAGGCAGGGGGCACCTAGCCAGGGCAGCATGGAGCTTACAGTGGCAAGGAGATTCTCTGCCTGTCCCCATTCTGTCTTTTTGCACCAGGTCCCACCCACTGGGCTGCAAAGGCCCTGGGGGTGGGCAGCAAGGTGGGGAGCTCACACCCACCCCTCTCAGATCTGGGGGGCATGGGTCCCCGCTGCCTTTTTAGGAGTGCGTGCAGTGGCGGGGAGCCAGCTCCAGCCTTCCCATCCTCCAGACAAGCCATGTGTGGCCCTGTCCTGCTCCCTGCTGGGGCCCTGTGGTGATGCAGTGTAGCCTTGGGCCCCAAATCCCACGGATCACCTGACTGGGCAGTAGCCCCAGCCCCGTCCTGCCCAACTCCCTCCCTATGGGGGCCTCAGTTCCCGCCCCCCGCCAGACTTACCTGTGGGAGCTGCTCTCCAGGATGCCTGTCAGCCATGTACATGCACATGGTGCTCCCTGCCTGACTTCCCTCCTCCCAGCCCCTTGCAGACTGGAACTCTGCAAAAGAGCAAAATCTTGGTGTTTCTTTGCTAAAATGAAAAATCTGCATTTTTATTGGGTGAAAGGGAAAATGTGTGGGATTTTTTTTTCCTATCCCCCCCATTTTTTCCCCCATTTTTCCATGGGAAACGGAAAACCCATTTCCATCCTGCCACTGCCCCTCCCTTTCTTTCTCATTATTTGTTTTTCTGTTCGTGGGGGGGGGAGCGGGCTTTAATTAGAGTACCTCCAAGAGCCACTCTAATTAAAGTTCCTGGAACATCACATGCATCAGCATCCCCGTGCACCCCCGCCACTATTTTTCAATGTGGGGACAGTGATACACGTGATGCTGGAATCTGCTGGAGCACAGTAATTACTATGCTCCGGCAGACTCGATTAATTGAGTCTACCCTGATGCACTGGAATTACAGCACATTGGAGCAGTCTCGATGCATGTGTATAGGCACTTTGAGATGCTAGGAGCACTAAAATAGGCTCTGATATGAGTTACTCTGCATATCTTTTTAAAATAAAACCTGAGAGAGAGCTTCTGGTTCCATTTGCTTTTCCTTTATGCGCTAGCTTTTGTCAAGTTGAGTTTTTCTTTTTTGGTCAAGATTGATAATTTTCTTATAAAGGTTACATAAACTTGAATTTCTTTATGTGCTTTCAGGATTATATCTTTATATCTTGTAAAATGCATTTGTTCAGATAGATTTTTAAATGGATGTAAATTATTTTACAGTATAATAATGGACTGCTGTTGGGTTAAATGTTTGTCCATTTTATTCAGTGCAGTTGCTTTTATACTAAAGAATTGGTTGCCTATTAGTTAAGATCTGTACAGTCCACTGGACAGATTGTAGACTTTTACATGTTGGTGGTGTTAATCATGATTACGATGCAAGAATATTTAGTGTAGGAAAATAAAGGATAAAGCAATAGCTAGATGTTAAAAATATAAATGTTTGTATGTTTTTTTGTTCAGAGCTTTTCTTTAATCTTTTTAAGTCCTAATATAGAGATTTTATCTTTCTCAAATGAAACATAGCATTCGTAGATGTTGAAAAGCAAAATCTGGCTTCTCTGCTGTTGCACTGTGTACAGTTGCCTGATGGGATCCAGCAAATCCAGTGTATCAAGCAGGTAAGACTTTATTGATTACTGGTAAATATGTTACTGACAGTATATGATGATATCTGGGCAGATTTTTCAGCTGCTTAATGACAAAACTGTTTTCAGTAAGTAACATTTTATTCATTGGGGCAAATTGATAAGAAATAAGTAATTTGCCAGATGCATTATAATTTGTTATACTTTGGCCCCTGGCCGATGTTATACGATGTTAACAGGTTAACCAGTTAATTAAGTCTTAAATAGTAACCTGGCCACACGTTCAGGCAGTTATTGGCACTATAAAACAGAAAATAAGTCACACAATCCACAAGATAGGTGCAATAATTTTGCAGCTGGTTTTCATCATGCTTTAAATTGAATATGTGGCAGGGTCACTCCTATATAACTTGATGTCATCTGCATGGCAGAGTTCTGAAATGGGTCCCAGTGCAGTCCTGGGGCTGGGATCCACAGTAAGCTGGCCCCAAGACAGCACCAAGATTGTCCAACTGGTTCCAGAAGGATCCAGGGCTGAGACTGATAATCAGCTGATTGATCCAAACCCTGGGACTGTGCTGGTTAACTGGGTACCTGGCTTTCTATTTGCCGCTGCAGAGGGAGCCTGGGATCATGATCTTGGGTTCCCCTTGCATTGGCAAGCAGTAATGGCATAATTGGGGTCTAATTCCTGATCCCAGAATTGTGTCTTGCCGTACACATGTGGCATTCCTGGCAGGAGGCACAGTTGTTGGAATGGTGTGCCATTAAGTGAATGTATGCCAGAGGCCTTGTTTTTCCTGATGCTGAGTACTTTTAGCCGTTGTTTATTTCAGAGAGAGCCCTGGGTTTGCAGCAGTTTTGAGAAACAGGTAATGCCATGTCTCTGCCAAAGAAAAGGAAGAGAAGCAAATCAAAACATTTTTGAATTTTTAATGTTTGAAACGTGCAGGGTCGGGGAGGGAACAAGATGCATACATTTGATCTTTTTATTTTTATTTGATAACATTTTTTCATTAAAGGGAAGTTAATTGTTGTAATGTCTGAGGAGACAGTTTGTGTTTATTTAAATTTTGGTGTTCTGTTTTTTTGATTGCAGATTGTGCCTTTACTGAAGAAGATGGATGTAAATTCTTCATGTAATCCCATGGTTAAAAGCTGTTTGGATATTTTAGGAATAATTTATTTTTCACTGAGCACAAAAAATCCTTTGAAAAAGGTGTTGGCCAGGTAAATTGGAAAAACTGAAAACAGGTTTTCCTGTTTATCTAAAATTCTGATGTTACAGATTATTTCGTGAATCTTTTGAGTATATTATTTCATCATAAGAACTGACATTCCTTATTACTTTAACAAGGATGTGTGTATTGGGTTTTGTTCCTTAAAATTAATTGGCGTCTGTAGAAAAATTTCATTTCTGTTGATAGTTAAAACATGATTTATTTTTTGAGCACATAATGTCTTTGATATGCAGTAGCACACAGGTCTATTTCATGGTTTGAAATGGTGGAAAGTGAATATAAAGAATTAATGTAATTGATAGAACTTGCATATACATTAAGATAATTAAAATAAATGGAATTGAGTTAGACTATACAAACTGTTTCCATGTCAAAGACAAAACTTTATACCTAGATGGAATGCCAATATTCATACTATACTTAGGTGCCACTCTACAGGTATTATTGCATGAATTTTGGTAATTAATATAGCTTTAATGTGTTTGAGATCAGTTTATAACTGATTTAATTTCATGCACCCTATTGTTATCCCTCACATTATTGAGCTTAGGTTCCTGCATGGAGCTATGTAGAATCCTATTGATATTTGGGATTTGCAGAATTGGAGGTTAAGGGTGCTTGATTCCTGTCATGCTGGGATGTGTAGCCGGATCTGGGGCCACTTGGGGATTGAGGTACCAATCGGGGTCAGGAGGCGTGAGAGGAAGAATCCAGGTCAGGAAACCAAGTCATTCTGAGAATGGGGTCTAGGAATGAGCTGAGTTAGGAAGCCAAGAGATCAAACAGGGAAGCAGAGTTGGAAAGCAAACCAGGTCAAGAAAAGTAGGGCATTTATACCACATACCTTTTAGTTCTCAGATGTGCTGGAGATCTGACTCTTCGGAGTAGACTTGATTAATTGAGTCTGCTTCACACGGGAGCTGACATGCATGGCGCTGCACCACTTGCAGTTGCATAAGTAGCAAAATGTGCATCAGCATGGAGAAAATGGCGGTGGTACACTTTTGACCTAAAACACCTTTGAGTTGTTTTAGTTCAAAAGCACACCACTGCCGTGTTCCTCAACCATTTTCAAAAGCACCACCACTGTCAAAAGTGCCCGGCGCTGCAGCGTTTGCATATGTGCAAATGCCCTGAGAGAGTGAGCAGAGAGCAAGCTGGAGGGAACAGCAAAGCAATCTTAGGTCAGGTTGAAGCCTGTTGCCTGGACACAGCCTGTTCCTGTATAGGAGTTTTATATGGGGGAAGTGGAGGGTTAGCTGACCCTGACCAGCCTCTCTGGTAACAGAGTGGGTAGATTTTGCTGCAGGCTTCAGGACAGCCCTACCCAGTTTGAGTGGTCAGCTGTGGGGTGGCAGGCCTGGACAAGTGGCTGTGTTGGCTCCTGATTCAAGGCTGTAGCCTGACAGTTGTTTAGTGAAATGTGCATTGATTGGTCTAGGATCAAGCAAGCAGAGAAATGTAGCTGTGCATATCTTTTTTTAGTATCTGCGGTAACTCTAGATGCGTGGGCCTGAAGTATTATGCAGCCTGAACTCTCATTGGTGTTAGTTAGGAATTACAAGGTGGGTCTCGTTTCTGGTTGAATGACAATGTTTGGCATATGGAATTGATGCAGCAGTGATCTAATGGAAAAAAGAAATCTAGATGAAGTCCTGGCTTCATTGAAATAATTGGAATTGCCATTAACTTAATTTGGGATTTCGCCTCTTAGATCCATGGTGGGGAAGGGACAAGAGTAATATTACAGAGCAAGAAGCTCAAGGATCCACTGGAAGTAGCAGGCTCAGAAGTTTGTGTTGGGATATATGCATTGGAAATATCAAGAATTAAAAAATTGGGTTGTTTAAACAGCAAAGAACGTAGAGATGGACACTACTTTTAGGGGTCTGTTGTCTTGGGATATAGGCAGATGTGACAATTGTATTATTTGTCAAAGGATACTGGTACAAGCTGGATGCAGTGTTGTATCTGCATGATTGTGTAGTAATACAAGAGTAGTAAAATGGCTCCCTCATTAAGCCTGATTTATTCACGGCCCATTGGGCTGATTTAAGCTAACTTATATTGCTGCAGGACCATGCAGATCTAAAATTTGGAGTGTAAAAACAGTCCTGAGCAGCAGCAGCTCCTCTTGCCTGGTTAAATCAGCCAAAATGTGGATTTAGTTTTGATCTCTCCTGGATGATATTTACAATACTTCATGAGAACAGCGAAGTACTGCAGAGTATTGATTTGGATTCATTTTAAAAGCATTGAAAAAAAAACAAGTAAATGTGGTGGGGAAGTACCTTAGGTAAACAGGACTGGAGCTCAAGTTTGATATACATGTGTTTTGCTTCCTTTACTTTTTATTTATTTATTTACTTTCTTTTGAATTTGCTCATTATATTAAAGACTGTAGATCAGTGGCTGAACCTTGGCTCCGGACAGCTCAGCTCCAGTCCAATATTGGGTGGAGAGCTTAGGCAGTGCGTTGGTAACAAATTTTTTTTTTGCTTGTTCCCATGTTAGGACCAGGTTGTAGAGGGGTGTGCCCAGGCTAAGCACCTGAAAGCTGCCATGTGCATGGAGAAGCAATGGCATTGGTGTTGCTCCCAGCTGCATAGCCCTGGTGCAGCTCCTCAGCACCGTGCTGTAGTGTGGACAAAGCCCCTGCAGCCCCACACTGCCAAAATGCCCCAGTCTGTGGGCTGGATGGAGTGGCTCCACGGCTAGATTTTCAAATTGAAAACATTTAATTTGTTTTCTACAGACAAGCCACATTTTTAGTGGTTTTGTTTGAGTTTTAAAAACTGTTCCTTCCCATTTTGAGAACCATTGCACCAAGTTTAACATAGGGGAAAAGAAATCTTGGCCAGTTGAAGCCAAGATTTGGGCTGGTAATGGGAAAGCTGGTAGTCATGCAGTCTAAATAGAATGTGTCATTGTGAATAAAATATTTTATTAGATTTAAATTAATAAAGTTAAGTAGGTCATTGTCATGGAAAGTAAATATTATGCAGTGCAGTGAATTCAAAATAAGGAAACAAGGGCAGGGCTTAATCTAGTGGGTGTGTGTTCTAGTGCAGCCTCATGGTATTTGACAAAACTATTTTTTTAAGGGCATATTACAGAACAGTCAGAAATAAGGTATTAAGGCTGGCAGGCACTAAATATTTTGGGTTTAATATCCTGGATCCCAGCATGTAATGTTAAAACCGTGCCAGGTTTTCCTCAACAATGCTGAGTGGCTGGTCTCAGGATGTTTAATTTATGTATGTATGTATAAATTTATTTATTTTACTTTCCAAGAGGGTGACGGAAGTTTGACAATGCTGACCCTTTTGATATGTTGAAACATGGAATAATGGTTCCATGAACAGTTCTTATCCAATACAGTATTTTTCTAATTTGTTCTTTGGACATCATAGAGTAATTAATGACAAAAAGCCGTGTTTCCGGAGAAGTTAAAATGTTTCCTTATTTCTTTTTTCTGTTGCCCAATCATTGTTAAATAACAGCTTGTACACAAGTGAGCTCAAGTTCACAAAGGCTTTTGCTCTCTGTATAAAGTCTATGAGGTGCATATCTACCATACCATATATCATTCTGTAGACATTGTTTTGTGGTTAATTGGTGTTTTTTTGGGAACGCTTGCATGTGAAACAAAGATGAATATTCTTCTTCTTCTTTGTCATTTACCTGTTGGGTAGTACTTTAGATGATTCCAGCAAATGATTCTACTTTTTTTGAGAAAAATCTGCTGTGTAAGGATGCTCCTTTATTTCCAAGAACAGTATTACAGAAAAGGCACACGTGATGTTAACAAATGGCACTGAACAAATAAACCATGGCTTTGCACAATCCAAAAGCATTCCCTGGAGACAAGCAAAAGAGTGGATTGTTGGACCCTTTGGGAACTGGACAGAGACTTGGAAACTGAGTTTGAACTAGTGGCATATCCAAGAAGTTTTTCCCTCATGTGGGAAGTAGGACACAGAGGCTGCTGATGGATGTGAAAAAAACCCAACAGTGCTTTACTGGAAGAGGCAGTGCATTAGTACAACTTGGCTCCACAGCATCTGTATAGATTGGGCATTTCAGTGGGGCTTTTTTTGTGCTTTTATCTAATAGCTGATTCAATCAGCTATTAGATAAAAGCGCCAAAAATGTCCTGCTGAAGCACTGGATCTATACAGATGTTGGGTGAGCTGGGTCTAACTAACGTGATGCCTCTTCTGGGCATGTGCTGGGCTCAGTGTGGGGGCATGTTGAGTTTAAAGTAAAGCGCTATTTAATTTTAATTTTTTTTTGACCTGTGAGCAGGAGATGTGATCAACCTTATGTCAAGTTTATGGTCTGCAGAGCTGTGTCATGTGGCCTGAGGGGCAGGCAGGGGTGAGGCCCATTGTGGAAATCCGGGGGCTCGGTGTCCTGTTGGCAGTGCATGTTGGGAGCAGGGGGTGAGTGATGGCTGCATTAACTCATGTTGTAGCCCCAGTGCTGCATCTAGCTGTGGCCCATGAGGAGCCCCTACAGTCTCAAACTGGCCCATGGGGCATGTGAGTTTGATATTCTAACTCAACTCCTTGGGAAGCTGTAGGAGAAGGTAATGACCTGTGGTGTAGATATTTGAGTGGATGGTGAGTTTGCACATGCTCTAATAAGTTAAATCCTTTTGTGTCATCTGTTCAAAGACATTAATTTACAGTCTGTGTCCACAATTAGTGAAGATGGGGATTGGAGAAAGTTAGGTCCTTAGCTAAGTGTCTGATTGCATCTGTCCTCAAAATACAAAAAGAAAAATACCATGGGAAAGCTCCTTTGCTGGAATACTATCACGATTGTGGATAGTGTGATAAGAGGATTAGTAGTCCTAGCCTTTTCTCTTTAATTTCCCTTATACTGAGAAAAGTGCTGGATCCAGATACCCTTCTCGCAGCCTGAAGTTTGCAGGCCTTTTGTTTTTGCCTCTGGGTGCATTTTATAACTGAGGCCTCATGTCAAAAGAAATGCAGTGCCGCCTTAAAGAGCTTAAGTAATTACGTTGAATTAAAAAAAAAATACCTGTAAGAATATTCTGTGTTGTATAAAAATACACGTAGAGAAACCTCCCTAGATAGTTCTTCAGCAGTCTGTAATTATCCAATTAATTAATATTGGAATTAAGCTCTGGGAATACAGTAATATTGTGGAATATGATAAAAGACCTGATTCCACAGTTCTTAATAGAGGAAATTCCTTCTTGCTCTCTAGAGTAAAGACTTGAAGGATCAGACACTCTAGAGTACATTTTATCAATGAAGCTTTTAAGACCAGTATGCTGTACGTTGTTTTCCTTGTTTGTTTTACTGTATAAGAGAGCTGAATTTGCTTAACATTTTGGATGAAGACACTAAAGGAAATGTTTGGAGGAGAAAGCCTAGTGGATTTGGTTTCCTTTGAGGTTTTTCAAATGGCATACAACCAAAAACACTTTCACATCTTCTGTTGTGTTTCACACTTGTGTATGATAAGTAACTATATAGAATATTTGCTCAGGGCAGACTTAGATGTTGAGCTATTCTTAGATGTACTTTAATGAAAGTAAGGGTATGGTTGGCATCATATAATAGACATATATGACCAGTATTCTGCTTAAGGAGATTATAGTTTATACTTGTGCAAGGGCCTGTCTTCATGGCTTTTGATTGCAGGATAAACAGTAAGTTTGTCACTAAACCAGCAATTTTGTTTGCAGCAATCTGATGATACTCTTTGTGTTGTAGTTCACTCAATGGCCTTCCTGAACCATTTATGACAGAAGCTGTGCAGAGTTTCATTTGCTGCCTTAAAAAAGAACTTGAAACTACGGACATATACTCATACAGAAAAGTTTTGGACAGTCTTGCTTCCTGTATGGAGAACTTCAGTCTAGGTATGTTTATAGTTTGAATTTAGTTGTGTTTTGAAGCTAACTGTTGCTTCTAAGAGTTTTGGTTTCACCTTTACCTTTTTTTCAGTCAGTTAATTAGGAATGACTTTCTCCTTCTCTTCTGATGTAGTGTCATTGAAATATACTTTCTCTCCTCATAGGTAAAGCAGGCGTTAGCAGCTTATTCAAAGAAGGTATGGTCATGTTATTTATTTAGTAGGCATAATAAAATTAATGTGTTTATATATCTTGGGAATAGCACAAGGCAGGCGTAAAGTGTTAAGAGTGTGGCAGATATGGTTTCAGTTTTAAGACTAGCTGAAAGCAGTGTGCATAAGCCTCGCTCTGACTTTTTTTGGAAAACTACAAGCCAACAGTGGCCACGTTTACACGAGATGCTGATTGCTCAGTTATTACTGTTGAGTCATTTAGTACTTGCATAACCAAGTACTAAATGATTGTGTAGCAACTGGCGTTACTGCACAGTAGCGTCCCTCCATGGTTTCCGGGTGAAACTGACTGCACAGCAGCTCGTTACTATTGTGTGGTAGCTCGTTAGTATTGTGTCACAGTTAGTGCCCCACAACGCTACTGCGCAGTAAGGGTCTCATGTAGTTGCAACCAGTGAAAACAGTTTTTAAACAACTCTAGTTAGTTAACAGGTGTAGTGAGAATCATTTCTATTAGGGTGTTTCTCCATGCTAATGTTTGACACAGTAGTTTCTCATGGTTTTCCTACCCGGGTGCATCTTCCATTTTTAGTCTACTTTGGTGTGTTGCTGTTGCTGTTGGAACCTTTTTGAATCTTTATTTACTGTATTTACTTGAATCTGATTTGCCCCTGAATTTAAGATGACCCCACAATATTTTGTGTATGGAATATTTATAAATTTGGTATAATTTTCCAGGTATAGAATCTAATTATTGGAAGGTTCTCTTAAATTCATCTCCTTCCCACTGATGCAGCAGAGAAAGCAGTGGCTGGGGCATTAGGTGATTGGGGGGGTCAGGTTTCTGCTTCTTCACCTCCTTCCTCTCCCTTCCCATCCTCCCCTTACTGTCAGATTGAGAAGTCCTGAAAACCATCACCTGTGGTTAGCTTCAGTTCAGCTTCTCAGTGGAATTGGAGACCAGGGTATGTTAACTTGGCTTAGGGTGGCACTGCAAATACTCAAGCTGGTACTGCATGTGCTAGCTCTGGAATTGGAAACAGAATAGTCATGTTAGCAAGGCTACGCAAAGATTAAGTAGCTGTGCTTGGAGCAGGACTTACTAGCCCAAGCACAATCTCACATTGGCATCTCTAGAGCTAACTGTTGTAAAAACTCTTAATGGCACTGCCTTTTTCCAAATAGATATAGGTAAGCAAGCTAGTGTGTTCACAGCTAGCTTGGGGTATGTCAGCGTGGTAGTGCACTACGCCATGTTAAACATCCCATTAGCATCTTGTTTGATTAGGCACTTATGGAGATGAAAGGTCTGTTTAAGGCCAGAAGGGTTGGAAGACCCAAGTTATTTCAGATTGTGTTTGGATGAGATCTTTTCCTCTGGCATGCTGCAGATTCCTTGGAAACATTTCTTTACTTTCTTTAACTAGCGCAGGGGTTACACAGACCTGGAAAATTACACATTCCACATTACCTCCTTTTGACCTTCTTTTTAAACACAGCTCTTATGAGACTGTTCTGAAGTTCAAACTTGATTGATTTGTTTTTGCTGGTAATGTTGCTTTAATTTGGCAGGTCATTTTTTGTAATGCATGTATATTTGTAACCGATTTAAATTAAGCTTTCCTTTGTTTAAAAACAGAATGAAATGCTAATATTTTGTTCTTTAAACTATTTTTTGTTAATTGCTTTTGACAGTTCTTCAGTTTCTGCAGAAGTCTTTAATTGAAATTCAGGAAGAAAACAGGCAAGTGACATTAAATGTAAGATATATTTAACCATTTCAATTTCACTGTCTGTGAAAGACAGTTGGGTGCAAACATTTCTTTTAGTAACAATACATGCATTAACAATGGAGAAGTCACAGTGATAAAGTTAATATGCATAGAACTATGCGTTTTTAATGAGTAATGAGTTTCTTATCCCATCATGCAGTATGCTGGACTTTAAAAAAGAGATGGTGGAGGCAGATAACTTAAGACATATCAAAGTTGCTAATTTGAAGGAAAACTTTCTACATTGTAGATTATTAAATCATGGAATTGGGGTTGAACTTTATAGTACATGAGAATACTTGAATCAAGCTATACAGAGAATATACCTAGTGATTGCTTTCTGCTTTTCCTATGAGATTTTTTTTAACTTAGTTTTGATAGGTTTTTCCTGGTTCATTCCTGTAGTATCTGGGTGCCTTCCAGTACTGCATTAAGCAACATGACAAGAATGCTGCATACTCTTTCCCAGGAAGATGTTTTTCTTTTTAATATAAGTATGACTATACAGTTAGAGGAGACAAGGTCATAGAAATGTACCCTGCACTTGGGGTAGCAACTACTGAACATCCTGATAGTTCAATACCCCTTACTTGTGTGGTGTATGCCTGTGTGTTTATTCCACAATGGGTGCATCTACACGTGCAGGTAGGACACAGAATAAACTCTGGCGCAGTTTGTGCCAGAATTAATAGCTCCTGGGCACAGTGTATATACCTGTGCCTGGGACCACAGCAGTTTGAACTGGGGTGGAGCAGCCCTGGGCTGGCAGTAGGCTCAGCCCTGGGTTCTGGGTCATGACTTTGGGTGGCTTTGGGGCTGGCTGGGGCACGAGAGTGCCCAAAGTTTGCTGTGTCGCTAGGTGGCAGGAGACAGTAGAATTTGTCCATTTGTTTTTGTTCAGTTTGTCAGCTCCTTTACATGGACTGTTTTTGAAACAGCTCCTTAATTTTACCCTAGTTAAGCATCCAGTAGATTGAAACCAGTAAATCAATTTTTACTGTGTTTGGTTCTAATGGAGATTGGCAAATCATGCTTTCCTGGGAGCATATAGAGACAATATTTACATAGAATCGTAGAAACATAGAATCGGAAGGGACCTGTAAGATCATCAAGTCCAGTCCCCTGCCATGGACTGGAGGTTATTGGGCTCAGATGAGCTCAACAAGGTGCCTATCCAGCCTCATCTTGAACACCTCCAGGGGGTGTGATTTGCACCACCTTTGCCAGGAGTGTGTTCCAGATTCTGGTTTTACAGAGAAAAAGTTCTTTCTTACATCCAGCCTGAATTTATCCTCTATTAGCTTATGCCCATGGGTCCTTGTTTCCTCCCTTGTGGTGCCTTCCTGAAGAGTTGTGCCCCTAGATCCTGGTGTTCACCTCTGACATACTTGTAGGCAGCTATCAAGTCACCTCTTAGCCTTCTCTTTCTCAGGCTGAACCGGCCCAGTTCCAGGGGTTTCTCCTCATAGGGCCTACCCTCCATGCCCTTGACCATGTGAGTGACCCTTCCTTGTATCCTCTCAAGCTTATTCATATCCTTCTTGAAGTGCAGTGCCCAGAACTAGGCACAGTACTCCAGCTGAGGCCTCACCAGTGCGGAAAAGAAGTGAAAGAGCACCTTCCTGGATCTATTGGCTGCACATTGGCTGATGCACCCAGAGTTTTATTTGCCTTCCTGGCAACCTCATGACACTGCTGGCTAATATTCATCTTCCAGTCTGTTGTGACCGCCAGATCTCATTCAGATGCTGTGCCAGCCAATGGACCACCACCCATCGTGTAGTTGTGGTAAAAGTTCTTCCTACCCAGGTGAAGGACCTTGCACTTATCCCTGTTAAACTTCATCTGATTTCGTTCCAGTCTGTCCAGGTCGTCCTTGATCCTGACCCTATCCTCCAGTGTGTCTGCATTTTCCCACAGCTTGCTATCATCCGAGAACTTAATCACTGCGCTGTCCACCCCATCATCCAAGTCAATGAATGTATTGAAGAGCACAGGTCCAAGTACTGATCTCTGGGGGACCACTGGAGACGGTCCTCCAGGATGAGGCCATCCCATCTCACCAGTTCACAGCTTATGATTGATGGCCTCCTTAATAAATTTTTAAAAGATTTTACCCAGGACTGAGGTCAGACTGACTGGTCTGTAGTTTACAGGGTCATCCTTCTTCCCTTTCTTGAAGATGGGCACCACACTGGCCCTCTTCCAGTCATCTGGCACCACTTCCAAGTTCCACGACTCTGCAAACAGCTTGGCCAGTGGCGCTGCTATAAGCTCAGCCAGTTCTTTCAGGACTCTAGGGTCTAGGACTTTGGGCCCACCAGACTTGAAAACATCCAAGTGTTGCAGGAGATCCCTCACCTGTTCTGGACTGATTTTGTGTAGCTTGTTTTCCCCATGCTCCATGGGCCTCTGGCCAGGTGAACAGCCCTGGTTTGATGTCAGGAATACTGATGCAAAATATGTATTTAGGAGTTCTGCTTTTTCACAGGCATTTGCAGTGGGCTGCCCCTGAGTATTCACTAGGGGGCCCACAGTAGAACATGATTATTTCTTGCTCCCTATGTATCTGAAGGACTTTTTGTTGTCTTTTATTTTGGTTGCCAGCTTGATCTCCATGCTTGCATTAGCCTTTCTTGTCTCATATCGGCAGGGCCTGGCGATACAGGTGTAATCCTCTCTGGTTGCCAAGCCTTTTTTCCAGTGCTTGTATCTTTCTTTTTTCTTTTTCAGCAGCTCGCTAATATCGCTTTTGAGCCAAATGGGTCTCTTGGCTCCTTTCCTGCTTTTCGTCCACATGGGGATGGCCTGTTTTTGAGCTTCCAGATTTGCTTCCTTAAGGAAGAACCACTGTCCCTGAACTCCCAAATCATCCAGTTTCTGGTTGCAGAGGGCCTCTTCAACCAGCCTCCTGAGTTTGCCAAAATCTGCCGTCTTGAAATCCAGGACTTCTGTTCTGCTGACTGGTTTCTCAGTCTTACGGTAGATGGTGAACCTAACCAGGTTGTGATCACTGTCTCCCAGAGTATTACCAATCTTTAGGTTGCCTATGCTGTCCTCTCCTTTGGCCAGCACTAAATTCAGAGTAGCCTTCCCCTAGTAGGCCCTTCCAGTACCTGTGTCAGAAACATGTAGTCTCTCATTGCAAAGAAATTGGCTGACCTGCTGAAGGCGGCTGAGTGATCCTCCCAACATACGTTAGGGTAGTTGAAGTCACCCATGGCAATCATGTCTCTAGGTTAGCTGCCTCGGTTGGTTCTCTGGAGAATGCCCGATCGCTCTCCTCTTCTTGGGAGGGGGAGGCGTGTAGTAGACTCCCACCATCCAGTCTCCTTCTCTTGATCTGCCTTGTATCCTGACACAGAGGGTCTCAAGGGACTCTTCCCTGTTGTCAAACGTGCCCTCTTCCATGTACAGGGCCACACTTCCTCCCTTCTTCCTTCTTGATGGGGTGGGCAGGGGAACAGAAAGTGTAATTGATTTTTCTCTTTTTTTTCTTCCCCTTTTCAGAAAGCTTAGTGGAAATCGTATTGCTCAGACGCAATTGATGCATGATTTATTGATGGCCATTAAAGTTTCAATGATGGTAGTCCAGAAAGTGCAAGAAAATATTCAGGAGAATCTGAAACCTGGGTCTTTTGTTTGTCAAAGTATGCGCAGTTTACTGAAGTGTTTCACAAACTGTTTAATGGATGGTAAGTATCAACAGTATTCAAATTCCATAGACAAATTTTTGCTCAGTAAATACTGTTGTCTTAGTACCAAAATTAAAAGTTGTCTTCATTTTGGACTTTCATTCTTTTAGTTTAAGCCCCTACAAGTTGAGCCAGTAACATTGATGGTTAGTAGTATTGGGTCTTTCGAAAAATAGAATTTATAGTGCACCATTTTGGAGTCTGCATGACTCACAGGAGGGCGCCAAGAGAGATGAAATATATCTGTAAAATAATGTATAGATGACATTGCTATAGCAATAGCTTCATCTTTTTAACAGATGGCCCTGGTGAATATTGTAAAATGTCTTTGTTTATGGAAGACTTGCAATGAAATATACATGCTTCTGATAGCAGAATCCTATATCAGTGTTTAATAAATGAGCATGTTTGTTTTCTTTAGATACATTGCTTTACTGTAAGGTTACAGTGTGAGCATAAATTGCTTTGGCTATACATTTCTACTGAGAGTTTGCAAAGTCGCTTAATGACTGTAGTTGGTCTGTGAGAAAAGATTCAGGAACATAAGAAAATTAAGTTAATGAATAGTTGTAATGTTGTGCAACTATAAATTGTCTAAAAATAAAAAAATGTGCTTACAGTTCTGACAAATAGTTTACATCAAAAGAGCGAACATACAATGAAGAATGTGTTTTGTTTTTCCACCTCCCCCTGTCATTTTAGAAGAAGTACTGCAGACTGTTCAGACTACCTCTGGACTAGCTGTCGTTCTCTTTATTAAGATTCTGTTTGAACCAGTTGAAAAGCTACCTTCTTTGGTAAGTATATTTTCTTAAAATAAAAAGAGGGATTTTTTTATTACTGCCAGTTCTTGTGCACTTGATAGTTCTTTTTTAATTAAATGGGAAAATTGGACCTTCAGCAGTTGGAGAACTTCCTGCAATTCTGACTAGACTTCCTGGGCCACGTGCTTACTATTCGCTTCCAACCTCTTTCGTCTTCAGCTGCCACCAGATCCTTCTCATCAGTTTCTTCTCTCTCTTCATGCCCTGTCCCCCCTCTCCCTTGACTTTTCTTTCCATTTTAATCATTTCCCCCCCTTTCTCCAGCTGCACCTACCTGTAAAAAAATACCATGAGATTAACAGAATTTTCCAGGCAGTGCATCTTTTCATTCTGTGTTCTGCATGCTGTCCCTTCCTTTCTTTCTCCCTTTTTTTTTTAAAGATTGTAAACTGTTTGGGGCAGGGATCATTGTTACAGGCCTCAGCAAAACCAGTCTCTCTTTTTTGGTTGGTTCTTATATACAAGAGCAATAAATATGCATTATAACAAAAACTGTCACCTAAGAGACAAGAATGGAAAGCCTGAACAGCCCCCAAATAGACACCATAAATTCTGGTTGACCTCTACCAGAAAATTTCTTGGTTACTTCCTGTGGAACACAATGCTTTCTACAGTGCTCATTAAGAAAATGAATGCATCATCTCTCTCCTTCATTCTGCGTAGACTGGAGTGTTTGTACTCTAGTTAGTCGTAGTCCTGCCCTTCCTTACCCTGCTCTGCCCTCCTGACATCCTTCAAGGATATATAGTGCCTGTTTTAATTCTATCTCCTCATGATTTTGGCCAGCCCTTGTGGAAGGATGAAGATTTTTGTGTTCTTTTCGCACTTGACACATTGAAATATTAGATAGCTGCATCATGTTAGGAAGAAAAAGAGCCAGTAACAAGTGTGTTGCAACTTTATCCTGCTTTTTGAAGTTTGCAGTAATATAGCTGCTATTTTGCTGTTGCAGGTCAGTGATTTGCTCCTTCGCTCGGTGAAATGTGTGGATGTACCACAGTGGTTTATGGACAGCTGTGGAATTCTGTGTACTGCAGAGGTTTCCGATTCAACTCTCCTCTTCCTTTGTCATGGAGCCTTGGCCATGCTTGAGTGGAAGAATAACAGCATGGGTCAAAATGGAGAGAAATTGCTCTTGGATATTGTGTTGGTTTTGTTATCTCTGAATTCACGGTAAGTCCATTGTAACAGGAAGTTTTGTTAACTCAGTTTCTGACTTCTCTTTCTGCTGCTGAAACTTTATTTTGTACATTAAGAGTATGCTGCAGTCCTTGTCTTTTTCTTAAATTACAAATCACTGTGGTTCAGACTGGCCATTCTTCCTTTGCTTAATAACTGATTCTGAAAAATAAGGTTGATTTCAGAAAATCCAAGTTTCAGCGATGAGTTATGTTTAAAATACAGAGCCTACAAATATGTATATTTGGATGTGCAAAATATGTATAATTGCTGCCTTCTGATTACAGTGGGGCTAACTTTTTATAAGGAACTATTTACTGTCTGTGTGGTCACTATTTCAGTCCTTTTGAAATGTAGATTAAAATATATCGCACATCCATCTACAACCTTCCTACCTTAGAATGCAACTCATTTAATGAGGTTAGATTCAGTGTGTGTGTGTGTGTGTGTGTGTGTGTGTGTGTAGGGGAGGTGGTTTACATGTAAACTGAGTTCAATTTTGATTTTTTTATATTACAGTGAAAAAATTTTGGCTTTTAATTTTTTTAAGTCGTTTTAGAATTTTAAAGCAATTATGTTAAAAAAATTATAAAGTTGCCCAAATGTCAGCCAGTATTAAATCCTTATCAGTTTTGTAAAATGAAGAATTATATGGAATCTTTTAAAATAGTAATGCCTGTTAGATTACTTTCCAGTGTTCAGGGAATTCTAGCTGTGATAAGCTAGAAGATCAGGAGTATTGAGCAGAAAATAGAGTTTTCATCCTGCTTCCAAGTTACACGAACTCAGACTCTCAGGTTTTCCTGTGCTGTCCAGTTAGTGGGAGGTGAAAGAGGTGTATTGTGAGGAATAACTAATGTTTTTGTAGTGTGTTAAAATGTTGAACTATGCAATGGGTGGCTAGTGATGATTTTTTTTTAATTTGTCTTTCCTTTTTAGGTTAAAAGAATCCTGTATGGCTATGTCCTTGTCAAGAATTTTAGCAATTTGGACTAGTTCAGCATTGGACGTCCTTGATTCAAGCTCCCAAAGTCTAAAATACGCTCTTACTGGAAACTCAGACACAATTGAGAAACTGCTAGAGTATGTGTACGCACATTGGGAGCATCCTTTAGATGCTGTTAGACATCAGACTAAACTGATCTTCAGGAATCTCCTCCAGATTCACCAAGCCACCATTAAAGGATCTGTTGTAAAATCAGACCCATTCTTGTCAATGTTGACAGAGAACTTACTAAACCTTGAATGGCATGTGAAAGGGAAATATGCTTCCCTTGGCTGTCTTGTGGAGTGTGTGGGCATTGAAAATATCTTGACAGTGGACAGAACAATTCCAGTGCAGATTTTGGATGTTATGGGTGATCAGTCTCTTGCACCTTATGCAAGTGATCTTTTAGAAACCATGTTTTCACATCATAAGAATCATCTGACAGCTGTATTTCAGGAAAGCACCTGGATTGACCAGTGGCATGAGACATGGGTCTCCCCTCTTCTTCTCATATTGTGTGAAGGGAATCCTGACCAAACTACTTACGTCATTGATTATTATTTACCAAAGTTGCTAAAATGTAATCCAGGCAGTCTGAACTACATGATTAAAATTCTTCAGGCTTCTAGTGATGCTAATGTTGGTAAGAAAATAATTTTCATATTCTTGCCTTTGTACATTTAGATACAGTTTCTGTTCATTTGTCTTGTATGAATGAGTGGGAATGGCAGCGTGAGAAATTCTAGGTTCCTGATTTTTTTCGGCATTGTTGAGTAGAATTCAGTGGTGGCTGTCCTGTATACCTAAAGGCTCCTTTCCTTAGTTTTCTCTTCATATGTGTAAAGTAATTATATCAAAGTAATATTTTAGCTTTTGTTGCATCCATTTTGAAATAATGCTTGCTTAATACTTTCCTTATTTATCAATTTGTAGGTTAAAGCAAGTGTATGAATGTAAGCTACAGTATTATCTGTGTTGCAAATATTTCTTATTAGCACTTGTACCATTAGTATACAAGAAATTAATTAACCTAAGTAGTTCAGTTTTCTTAAGCTAAGTCATTTGGTTTTTGTTTGTGGGCCATAATTATAAGTTTATGATTGAGTTGTGATGGAGTAATTGTTAAGCAGTGTCTTGTGAATCACCACTGGCTTTTTTAATCCTTTTTGGTGTTCTTGCAATGAAACATTTTGGGAATTGAACTGAGGATTGTAGTTGGATACGTGAGAGAATCTTTCTCTCAGAGGGTAGTTTCCACATGGGAAGGGGTGAGGACTTTTGTTCCAGCTGCGTTTTAAGTTTTTGTTACAATGGGTAAAAACAAAGTCCACTTACTCTTTTTTTTTTTTTTTTTATTAGGGTCTTGGAATACAAGAGGAGCTCTTGGAGCCTTGATGGCATGTCTAAGAACAGCTCGGGCTTATGGACACTTACAATTTGCAGATGTCATGAGGGATGGTCTTGTGTCTGTTGGATGTATCAAACAAGGTTTAGTTCATCAACATGTTCAGGTAGGGGGACTGATATCACTGGGTACCTATACATGTGACTGCTGTCTAATTGGCACGCATTGGAGCAGACTCAGTTAATTGAGCACACATTGGAGCAGACTTGATTAATCGAGCACACGATTAATCGAGTCTGCTGGAGCGTGCTAATTAGCATGCTCCACCAGTCTCTGTGTCACGTGTATTCAGTGTCCCCATGTTTCAAAATGGCGCCCCTGCCACCATTTTGAAGTGCAGGATGCTGAATACATGTGATTTTGCGGGCACTTTTATTTGAGCCGCTCTCAGAGATGCTCTAATTTAAGTGTCCACCCTAGAGCACGTGTATAGATGCCCATTATGCTTAACTCCTCAAACACTGTTTTTAATATTCTTATGGAAGCTGATTATGGAAGTTAAATATCATGAAGTTGACAGTTCACTTCCGAATGTTTTTATAGGTTCGCATAGATGCCTTAGGTTTGCTTTGTGAAACCCATCGCAGCACAGAAATCGTGTCCGTGGAAGAGATGCAGCTAGTACATTTTTTTATTACGTATAATTTAAACAGTCAGTCTCCTGCAGTGAGGCAGCAGATTTGTTCTCTACTGAAAAAGGTAATCTTCAAACGTAAACAAAATGCAGTAAAATCTGTGTATTTATTATTTCAGAAAATAAGCTGCTGAGCACGTTAATAATTTATTTTTTGCCATAGCACTAGGATTTTGCTTTACCATAGCACTAGGAAACTGTAGTTGTGGACCCTGTTGTGCTAAGAGCTGTGTAATACAGGAAGAAAAAGATCCTTGTTCTTAAGAGTTTATAATCCTAACTAAGAAGAGGCAACAGGTGGATGCAGGTAGACTAGCGTGCCTGGCTGCTGTTGAGCTTTTTCTTTTTTTGTAGACATGGTTGCAAAGCATAATTTGACAGATGGATGTTTATGGGGAAATGCCTCCTAACCCTGAAAAGCAGTTTGGAAGAGAATGCAAGAGTGCTTTGAAAATTTATCGAGTGGATGATCAAGACTTGACATTACTGGCTGAAGACAGGAGTCACATTTGAGAGTGAATAAAAGAGGATAGCTAATTCCTGACTAGAAGGTCTTGCCCCTCCACTCAGGGTCAGAATGATTGCCATATTTGGGGTCAGTAAGGAATTTTACCCCATAGTCAGATGGACTATGGGGGTATTTGCCTTCCTCTATTGGTGGGCATTGCCCTCTATCCCAGATATCATGAGCATATATTGCCAATGTTTTGTTGAAGCAGGACATTGGCTGTCATACTTCTTCAGCTTTACCTGTAGCAAGTTGGAATGTTAGGTCTGTTTTGTCGGGATTGATGGTGTAGATTATGGATTGTATTGTATGGTTTGGATAGGGATGATCCTGCTTCAGGCAGGGGGTTGAACTGATGACTTCTGGAGGTCCCTTCCAGAACTTCTCTAATTCCATGATAGGGAAAGACTTTGAGGTATCTAAAGGATAAAAACAGGTAGCTTATTTCAGGTGATGGAGAAGAAGAGCTGTAGTGGGTGATTTGGTCAAAAAAAAGAGAGAATGATCTTGGCAGCAATCATCTGTGTGGCTGTAAGTAGAGTAGAACTGTGTTTGTCAAGCCACAGAATCAGAGCCATAGTTAAGAGTTTGACTAATGAGAACCTGGATGACAATTTTACCAGAAGTACACATAAGGTATGCTTATCTTAGGCATTGCACAAGAGAATCTGCAAGTTTGGGTAGCTTAGTTGTGAGAACTACAAAATAATTCTGACACAGGTGACACCCAGATCATCTGTATGAGGGTGATGACTAATCATGGTGTTTGTGCACTTCATGGTATCTTTGGGAAGATGAGGTATAAGAAGATTTTAAAAGTTATTTTATCCAGTTTAAGCATGAGCTAATTTAGACATCCACCAGGAGATGAAAAGAGAGACTGCTGAGGTTTTTTTTAGCTCACAAAAGGAGTTAGGTCTCACATGGAGAATATTTGTCAGCTGTCATCACAGAAAGAGTAGTTGAATGTGTTTTGCCAGTAAGGTTTGCACGGGAATTGAACAGAGAAGGAGGAAAGAAAAGGATTCTTTTGGAACCCACACGGAGTTGGAGATGGGATGAGGAGGATCCTCTGAAGGGCATGAATGAATGACAAGTTAGATATGTGAGAGGAGAGCCAAAAGAGGACAGAGATGTGGAGAGCAAGAGTTGTAGAAGACAAGCATGGTTGACAAGGATGAGGACTGATTATTGGTTATGAGCTTTGTCTAGGAACATGTTCTTTCAGAACACTTTCAAAGTGTTTTTAGTGAAGTACACTGGGCAGAAGCTGGATTGAAGAGGGGTCCAGACACAGTGGTTGTTGAAGAGGCAAATGGTGTCTGTGGTCTGGTTTCAAGATGGACAAAATCACTTTTTTTTGTGATTTGTGAAGAGTCAGAGCAAAGAGTCTAAGAAAAATAATAAGGGAGGAAGACTAGAGGGGGCAGGAGGGAGCTTGGGACAGGGATGGATGGCGTGACTGTGGCAAGTGGAAGAGGAAAAACAGATGCATAGCACTGGGGAGGGAAAAGAGGAAGGTAATTTATCTAGTCAGTTTTCTGGTCCAAGACAGTGGGAACATCCTTTCGCAGATGGAGAAGTGGAGATAGGAAGACCATCTGGGTTTGAGGAATGAGACAAGAGAGGCTGAGATAGCAAGTGTGGTATTCAGCTAAGATGCAATAATAGAATAGTCTAACAATAACGAAGATGGTTGAACTTAAAAAACACATTTTAGTAGCAGAAGGCATCCTTGTCATGATTTGAATCACACAGAGATCCAGCAGTTAATGGGCTTTTTGTCAAGTGTGTTGATCTAGGGCTCCAAGGTGAATGAGGAGATGAGGGTGAGGAAACATGCAGCTTAATAGGTTGGTGGGGTGGGGTCATCCACATGCATCAGAAACCACTGAGGATAAGTGTGTAAGGTATGGCAGGATAATGTGGAGGAGTTGGATGAAGAGGTAAATGAGTAGCGGATGTGGGAGAGGACCAACTTGGAAGCAGCAGACTAGGGAGGAGAAGCTCAGTACCTCACCCTTAGGCAATAGCCAACGAAAACTGATGCCTCCCTGAACAAGTTATTCTATAAGGTGCCACTTTGCCCTGCCTTCTGCCTAACATCAGACTAAAACAGCTAGCTGTCTCTCTCACCACTACCATAGTTTGTGATCCATGCTAGAGAATTCAAGAGAGTGGCTTCTCAAAGACAAGCACTGCTGCAGAGGTGGGGTCAGACAAAAGGAACCAGGTCCTAGGGAGGCCACAAGCTGCAGGGGAGGCAGTTATGGAAAAGTGGTGTAGGTCTGTGATCTTCTTAGTGAAGAAATGGGCATTCTGGAGAATTCAGGAGCGTGGATGAGAGGCATAAGATTAGGGGTGGAAGTAGGATTGGAGGTAAAGAGGTTAGGGACAGGAGAGGTTGCTGGAGGAGGGAAGGTGAGGAGCAAAACATGGTTTTGAGTTCTGGGTTTGTGTTGGAAGGGAGAAGATATCAGGGAGGGCAGAAAAGCAGAGGATTGAAGAATGTGGTCAGGAGTCTTATAACACGTGTAATTGTTACAGAGGCCACAGGCACTGATCCCTTGAAACTGTAAGCAGCTGTACCTGCAGATGATCTCAGTCTCTCTTTTTAAACATTGATTTCATTCTGTGCATCTCATCAACTGTTTTCTTGCGTGTCTTTTTAAAAGTTGTTTTGTAGGATACAAGAAAGTTCCCAGCTGCTTTATAAATTGGAGCAAAATAAAACCAAGCAAGAGTCAGTTAAAGAATTGGCAAAATTGGATCCTTATTGTACTTTACAGCAATATAAAGTAAGTACTAGAGCTGGTAAAAATACTACTGCTGCTACTACTACTACTAGAACACTTTATAAATAACCCCTGATTACTACTTGAAACACGCCACAGGGTGCTAAAAAGTTGCATATAAAATAAAGGAAACAAGCAACTCATCTTCTGCTGTAGGCTAGAATGAGGACCCTCCTGACTTCTGCCTGCCCCCATATGTATTCTCCAGAACATGTTGCCTGTTGATAAGAGAAAGCTTATAGAGAATGACTTACAGAATTGACAGACTGAGTTTGAAGGATTTTGTACTTGTCTTTCCTCTGATTTTCTGTTTAGGGTCCTGTAATAACCTCTTATTTTTATTATTGTTATGTTAGGCTGTTCCTAATTTTACCTGCTTTGCTAATGACTATAATTTTGTTTGAGTGCAAAGGAATTCTTTTCTTCTCCTCTGATCCTGGAAAATAAAAGAAGCTACTACAGAGAGACTTGCTAGTTAGTGGCTTTGGGGAAAGACTTTATTTTTCTTATTTTTATTTTTTTTAGTGACTTGTAACCTTACAGGTATGAGTGGTGTCTTGAATCAAAGCTTTGCTGTATCAAGTTTTGCAAATTTACTTGCATGTTGCACACAATCTATTCAAATTCTCTTCTCTAATCTTCAGGATTTCGTATCATCTGTATGTGACAGACTTTTTGAAGCCCTGTTTCCTGGATCATCTCATTCAACCAGATTTTCTGCATTAACTATTTTGGGATCGATAGCTGAAATATTTTCTGTTCCAAATGGTGAGAGATCTCATTTATGTGATGGAATTGAGGAGGATTAAATCAGGGTCTTTCTCTGTTAACTAATTATTTTCTCACCCAAATATATCAGTTCCCCAACACCTGATTTCTGTGACATTTAAGGTATAATTTGTTATGTTGTTCTTTCCTACAAGAAAATGACAGTTCTTGTAGAATAAGAAAACATAGTTTTGGAATAACAGTAAATGGTTAGGGGATGCAAAGTACAGACTTCATATAATATGAGTAGTTTAATGCACGGAACTTTTCTGTTTTGAGCATGAATTTCAATAAAGTTTTTAGGCTCCCTGCTTCTTCCCCCAATCAGTGTTTTGCTACCTCTTCTGTAGCTCATTGTCTGAAAGTCCCTGAAATAAAAATACTATTAAATATATCTTTGGCATAAAATTTCAATGTACTATGTTACATATGCACCTCAAATTTTGATACAGAGCTGTTTCTGGGCTTGAAATGCAAAAATTCAAATTAGGATTCAACCTTTACTAGGGGTCGCATCTGTAATCTATTCTTCCCTAATACCCTCTTTTTTTAAAATCAGTCCATCTTTTAATTTTAAACCTATCACAGTAGATGTACTGAGAGTTTGATTTTTTTTTTGTAGTATGTAGGTGCCTTCTTCAGTGTAATTTATCAGGGTGCAGTATAAATACAAAATAATATAGGATTGTATACCATTTACACAAAAGATTTAGCGATATTCTTGCAAAAGTTTTGTAACTATTCAACCTGAGTTAGTCTGTAGAAACATTAAGAAGTTCTAGTTTTATATGAATAAATTACCAGGTTAATATGTAATCTATTTTAACTTGCCCATTTCTATGGTATCTAGAGACCAACAGAATTCCATTAACTAATTAATTAATTTATAACCCAAGCCTGAGATCCTGACTCCACCTGAGTAATAGCTTTCTCCATGAGAAGCTCTGTTGACTTCATTGTTCTTGTTTCATAGCAGCCTGTTTCTTGAACCATTTTTTTCCCCCTGCAGTGTCAAAGTTAAAAAATAAACATTTTTTAGTAAAAGAGAATGTAACATTGCTAGCCAGGCTGCTTCCTGAACAAAAAAGTCTCTTTGGTGGCACGTAAAGGAGACCAAAATATTGACACACTATTGGAAACGTGTACCTACAGAAGATGAGATTTGAATGCAGTTGGATGATAGTGGGTTTTCAAAGTACTGAGAACAAGAGGGGAGGGAGGAGGTGTTTTAATTAGGTAATTACTAATTAATGATTATTCTGATGCTGATAACTGTTAGAATAATAAAACTATATTTCCCTCGGTATTAGAATTATTTTAACATTCTGAAGTATTTATTTTTGTAATCTGTTTTATGGTGTTTGTAACCAGTAAACATTATGTTTAGATTGTGTAAATAGCTTAAATACAAGATGCTTTCACCTCATAAATTGGAAGGATTATGTGGAAGAAGCTAGACATCATTCGTTACTTTTGGTTTTGAACTAAGGGAAAATTGCTCATGCTATGATTTTCTCTTCCACCAAAACCTCTGTTTTTAAGTTATGAATGCATTAATCTTATTTTCCTAAGGCTATTTTATGAACATAGTGGGAGTTGCAGTAGAGGCCTGCACAATTCAGAAACTAGGCATTACTTCTAGAAGGACTGTGTTAGGAATGTAGCTAGAATAATCTTTTGTGTAATGTTGTATTCTTCAAAATGACAGGTACCTCTTGCGTTTGTATCTCTGTTCTTGACAACTCCAAGAGGGCATAAATCATGTATGGACTTGGCAGAATTAGATTTTTATTTATTTTTTTATTTGAACCAGTTTAAACCAATTTTTATTTTAAGCATTTATTTAGATTTTTATCCAGTGAAATTTTTAGGATTTGTGTGAAATTAGAGGTGGGTTTTTTATTTTATCAATTTAGCACATGCATGTGTGGTGGTTGGGGGCTGTGCTGTAAGATTGTGCTAGGAGCAGGGGTTGGAGGGGCACGGCGGGTAGTGCCCAGGAGCTCGGTGCCGCTGGCTGCTTGCTCTGCCTAGCCAGGGCAGGAGCCAAACTCTTGGTCCCCTACCCTAATCACGCAGGGGCAAGGGCAGGCTCTACGGAAATTTGGCCTTCTTTGCCCCAGCTGGGACCTGGGTGGAGCGAATATATGGTGGCACTGGACTCCGCAGTGCTACCAGCCCTGGCGCTCCAGCCCCCCTCCCAGCACAGTCTTGCCAGCACGGTCCCCACCTCCTGCAGTGGTCACCATATGTGTGCATGTGCAGCATGTGTGCGCACGTGTGTGCCTGCTTGCAGTATCCCCTGCCCCAGATTTCCTTACCTTCTTTCTGGATTCATTTTTAAGTCTCTTTTATGTAACTGTCAGTGATTACTGGTGGAAATATTTTTCCGTCAGTCTGAGTGTCAGGTGAAATCAATGTGTCAACGTCTATTGATCAAAAATCAAATCTTGCCAAGCCTAGTGATCTACCATGCCCCAAGGTCC